AATGTTGACTTGATACATGAATCAAGAAACATTGTAACAATAACATAAAATGCAGTGTACCTCTTGTGGAGGACGCCCAAGCCGACACAGTCCAAGGATGACCATGCCCACTGAAAGCAAAGGCAATGCATCGGCTTTAGTGTGGAGGCAGGCCAAAAAGCACATTCAGAGCTTTGATTGCAGATTGTACCACTCTCGGAATTTTGTCTTCTTCATACATCATAAATTCCACCAGACGAGCATATTCTCTACCAGTATGAATCTTTGTTAACATATCAGCAAGATTTGTTTTTGTTCCTTCCCAAGCAACCTGAATAAGATCACTTGCACATTTTGAACGAACATAATGATAAGCAACAGAATTGCTTTTCTTTTTCAAGACAGATTCCGGGCGACTTGCGTTCATCACAACAGAGTTGTTATCAACAAGAGTATGGCAATGGCCATCAATTGGTACGCCCATCATTTGCAATTTGTATACTAGACCTTCAACCAATTCAACACCAGTCTTCAATGCAGCAAATTCACTTCCAAAAGAACTTGTTTCAACAGCATTCTGCTTCTTCGAATACCAAACGATCGGTGCATGATTTAAGAGGATAAGAACACCTGTTCTGGATTGACATGTAACAAGATTGGAAGCATGTGAGGCATCAACAAACATCACAATCTTTACCGCTCGTCCAAGGGCTTCTGGCATATCAGGAGGCAGTACTTCTTTTGCCCATGGATAGAATTCATGCCATTCAGATTTTGGTATGTCGGTCAGAGCCATATATATGCGGAATCCATGACAATCTCGCGGCTCGGATGTGTTTCAAGATAACCAAAAAGGTGTAACACCGCATGAAAATGTCCAACACGAGGCATGGCATTGTACGAAGACATCATTGAGACTTCAGCACAAACGTCCAGTCTTCCAAGCTCAACTAGCCACCGTAAGATTCCAATCAGTTGCATATACAGTGTGTGTGTCTCTGCGTCAACAAAATCAGTGTTGTCAAGCTCAGGCTTATAACCAGAAGGTAAGGCAGCAGACACGTTTCTTTTCAAATTCAAGTTGTATTTTTGATGTGAGATTCGAGACTTAACGACACGTAACGCTTCAAGCAAATAGTTAGTCGAACCAATCGACCAGCATTTTCGAGAATCACTTGGGTCAACAAAACGTTTTGAAATTGTTGCACCAAGGAATGTTGTAGGCTCTGCAATTGAATCAGGCTTGAGCATGTAATGCGTTCCAAGCTTCTCCAATATAGCACGAGGATTTTCAGAAACAGCCATAAGGTCATCGGTGTAAACGAAAATATATTCGTAATATTTTTCGCCGTTTGACTTCAAGGCAGGTTTTCTCCAAACATCCATATCACCACGACACTGTTCGAACTCCATTTCTTCTCTCAGAGTCTTAGAAAGCGTAGATCTCCATGAGAACCCGGAAGATTTTAATCCATAGAGTGCTTTCTCCACAACAGCAGTGCGACCCTCAAGGTCTCCGAACTCGGGTCCAAGTACTGTGTAAATCTTCTCAGCACAAGGCGTGTTCAAATACGCTCCAGCAATGTCAGCAGACAAAATTTCCAAACCATTTAACGAAGCAAGCAAGAATCCAATACAAATACTCTCATGAGTGACAACACTGGCATACGTGACGGAAAGAGGAGGATCAGTTTGGTCCCCTCGAGCACATATCCGGGCCTTTTGTGTGAGGTCCATCTTGACATCAAAGACAGTCATCAAGTCAATACAAGTATATCCAGGGGGAACAGGTTCATTTGGTCCCAAGATTCTTAAAGCAGGCAACACAGTTTTATCTTCCTTTTCAATAGCATTTCCCCAATGATTGCTACCAGTGTTGGCGTCAATCTTGTAGGCATGTCTCACACCTTTTGGACCAGTACCAGGCAATTCTAAACCAAATTTCTCAGTCTTGCGAGTTAAGGCTCTTCTTTTAACAGCCTTTAGAATTCTATCACGCTTCTTCAAAGTATAAGGAACTTACCAAGAGAAAGCAGGCTCAGATACAAGTTTGTTAGCAACAGCATATTTGGCCACCTGAATTGGATAGGCCTCCTTTGCAGTTTTCAAATCAATCCATTCTGTCTCATCACCATGAATTTGAGCACACAGATACCACCCTTTTGTAGTTCTTCGAGGAACTTTCTTATTCTTTACCATGACAAAACCATCATCAGCATGGACTCGTGTGCCATCTGTCCTTTGGTCAATAAATTCTTTTACATGGAGGATACTATTACCGTCATCGTCAACATTCATCATCATTGCTTCAATAACTTCGTTTGCACGATAGGATTCAGTTTCACCGTCATGCCATTCGATTTCATAAATAGAAGTGTCCAAGACAGGCTTCTCATGATACGAACCAACCATCGAGCCATCTGCTCTTCTTTTTCTTCCGCGAACAACTCCAAATTTGTCAATACCATTTTCATTCTTCCGGATCTTAACACCAACATATTTGTCAAATTCCACCTGATCATCTTCTTCAGATGGGGCTTCCTCAAAAAGCTCTTCATGCTGCAACATTTCATCATCTTCATATTGTTCAAAGTGCGGAGTGTTAGCATTCGTGTGCAGAGGTCTGATATACTTTTCATCAGCTTTGTAAGCACCCGAAGGATCCTGTAAATCATCAATCTTGATGGGGTCAGAGTTTTTCAAACAGTTATGCAAGTCTTCGGTAAAACGCTTTTTCAGATCTTTGATATCTGTACTATCCCGCTCTTCTCTGGAGAGAGGAATCACACTTGAACGCTGTAAAACTTTTCCACGAGAAGTGGCACATGCAAAACACAGAGATCCGCCAATGTTAAAACTGGGTCCAAGCCAACGACACAATTGCTTATTCTCTTGACTGGAGTGTGTTGGGGACAAAGCCCAACACCAATCATAGATACCAAAATCAGCCAGATGCGAGATATCTTTTGTATTACCGGAGATCCAACCGGCACCACAGTCATCACCTTGTCGAGAGTGACCAAGAACCATGTGACTTCTTAATTCCAAACAATAGATAAAGACTCGATCCCAAAACGCTTTTGGGATCCCTCTTCTTGTCATCAAACGAACATACATTTTTGTTGCTTCATGAATACAATCTTCAGCAAGGTTCTGATCAGGATTGTAAGGCTCGCTAGGATGTATTGGAACCTGGGCCTTATTTGCGACTCTTCGAAATTCTCCAGCAGTCAACGATTGAGCATCATCAGGTCGGAGAACTCTTGGAAAGCCAATATCACGAAATAGTTCCTTGAGCGAGTTGCTCAAATCAGATTCTTTCTTCAAAGCGTAGCCACGGGCCCATTGACAGGCAGCAGCATAGACAGCAACATACTTATTTCCTTCAGCAGAAACACAGGGGCCTTGTTTGATATCGGCCCAAACATCAGCACGCAACCTAGGATATTCAAGTTGGAATTGAGTGGGGCAAAATCGTCTTGAGCCTTCGACTTTAGTCGCTGGGTTGTTTTCTTGAGAGTGCGACGGGCACATTCAAGGCTGATTCGCCATCTTTGCGCAAGTTGTTCAGGTTTGACCAAATAGCTCTTGCCATTGGTTTTAACACCATTGATGGTCGCTTCAACTCTGTCCCCTAAAGCGATAGGAAGAGCGAGTGGGCAAATAGAGCGGTAGTTGGGATCAGAGCGGTCAACAGAATAGATTTGTTGAGTGGCAATGTCCCCTTGATATTCACATCGTAGATTTTGGTCGATGCGAGAGGATTCCGGGTCATAAGGTTCCCAAGGGACGGAACTGGTCATTTCCACTGAGACATATGCATCAAGTTCAGACAGCGCAGGTTTGCGACAAGCAAAGAAGCTGATAGGCTTCAGGAAGTCAATTGGGATATGTAATCCCAAGTTTTCATCAATAATGGAATGCAAATATTGATTGCGATCTTCGCATTTCAGACGTTGGAGGAACACATCATTCACAATTATACCAAAATCTCGAAGGTGATCAACACAAAGGAGATTACTTTTCATGGTTGGGATGTACAATGCTTGATCAAAGATCAAGATATACGTTTCAAGGGACAGAGGGCAATCATAAGCAACTGCAACTTTTGCACTGCCAAGCAAAGGATCAAAGCCTTTTACTGTCAAGGTATGGGGATAGGTTGCAAGAACCAAACAATTTTCGCCAAAAGCACAAGTATCTGCGTGTGAGTCAAGCTCACACTGGGGCAAGGAGTGGGAAAGGGACATTAAAACACAAACACAAGAGGAAGGGAACAAGTAACACAAATCTGATAGTCGGCCTCATGTCAGAGACGGCCACGTCGAACTCCACTACCAATGTTGCCAGAAGAGGGTGCTGGAGCTGGTGTAGGTGCAGGTTCTTCATTTTGTTGGCGGTCACGATTTTGTTCACGCAAAGTGTTCAATTCCGCAATGTCACGTTCACTCATAAGACAACTGTTAGCACGTTCACGAGCTTGGAGGACAACACGGCGATCACGATCAGAGAAACTGCTCCAAGTGTCTTGGGAGTATCCACCGTTGTTGAGGATGGTCGTGCCATCATCGGACCATACAGTACCATTGTGGCTTCGACTACCACCTCGTCCGCGACCTCCGCCACATCCATGTTGATTACGATTACGATTATGGCCACCACGATCACGACCACCATTATCACGATCACGACCACGGCCACGTCCGCGATTGGAGTTTTGTCCCCCACCATCGACAGCAGCTAAGGCTCTTGTGCCGCTGATCGCAGTTAAGCGATGAGTTTGCTGGGCCGTATCTTCAGTCTGTAAAGTGTTGATAGCCATGCGCAGGTTTTGCATACATGCTTGACTTCCTCAAACAAGTGTCCACCCTGCGGGCCTTCTTTGATCATGCTCAAGAACTTGGTTACCTTGGCATGTTCCGACATGCCATCACCACAATTTTTCAAATCTTCAAAGGCACCAAGAACCCGTGCCGCAAATTTTTCAAAACTAAAAATTCTTCTTTCCATTGTAGTGGGTTGTATTCAAGATGCGGTAGGCAGAGTCGCGCCTCTTATTGAGTTGGCACTCACCCTGATAGTGGGCAACCAGATCAAGATACGCTTGCCTTCCATTTTCTGTAGTCTTGTATCCCTTTATAACAGGCCAAGCATCGGTGCCATGGCATACTGAATATAACATATTCCACACAGCTTTGTTATTAGCGACAAACTGGTCCTCTCGATGCAAGCTCCGACGAATTGCCTCATCTTCCACAGATGGCATAAGGAGACCAGGATCAGCTGTTGGATTGTCGTCCGGATTTTGATGCTCACAGATTACATATGTTAGCAAAGTGCCACCCTTTCCGCGATTGCGCTTCAACCACTGTTCCAAGCTCTCCATCAGTTCGACCGTATTTTTATTATCAAATTTGGGAGGCATAACCTCTGAAATATCTTCAAATTCGTTTGACTTGTTCTTCAAGTGGGAATAATAGCGATTGATTTTTGCCAAATTCGCTTGTGTCCCAAAAGCTGGATCATGTTGGCGATCCACCGTATAAATAAATTGGCAATAGTCGCAAAGGTTGTAGAGCATGATTTTCTGGGCTTGGTTGATTGAAAACATAGTGTCAGGATCATTTCCTGGATCAATCACAGTGCGATTGATCTGCTTCACCAAGGAATCAATATTTTCGCGCGTCGAGCGGGCAAAGAAAGCATGGGAACTGAAGCCCTGTTCAATAACAATCTCTTGTGCCTCATCCTGAGAGAAATCGAGAACATCTCAAATGTAGTTTCTCCATGCGATTCTTGCAGCGGCCATCGTTCAATGTCTTTCGTGTTGTTGTAAAAATAACACGGCACAAATTTCAATATTTTTGTTTTGCCAGTTGTTTTCAGTTTCTGATCGGAGTCGTATAATGCAATTTCGCACGACTACGTCAGTGTGAGATCTTAATTAAAAGAATCGCACTACAAATAATTATATACGGAGTATTGAGCAAAATATCCTGGGTACGTCTACCCGTGTGGCAAATTACTTGCAACCAAACGGTTTAAACGGTAACAAGTGGCCGTCTTCAGTCAACGCTCAAGACTGAAATGTAGCGACGTGAAAACCACGGATCCTTTGACAATGGGCGATCCAACCTTTGCCGGTCAACCACAAACTTTGGAGACCAGATATTATTTCAAAAAGCCTTCTCAAGCTTTAGCTCACAACAAAGAGCTTCTGGGTCTGATAACCGTTAAAATGCGCTGCTAGTCAGCCAAAACAGATGAATTACTGGACGAAATATAGACAAGGAAAACTTGTGACTATCAATCCTTTCAGACTACAAAACTACATGTACGGAGGACATACCACGTACTTCCCAAAATAATGGTCGCATTCAGGTCATAGTGAAGTGCACATTAGAAGGGGGAAATAGAAGGGGACAGAGAGACTGCTAACGTATGTGGGGGATAATGCTGGAGAGAAACCAGAACCCTTGACACATAGGTAACCAAAACAGAACGGTATTATTTTGCCTCCATGTGCCAATCTAGATACTACTATACTGGTACTGGTACAATTACTAGACAAGTAAAGGTAGGTTTGCAGAGTGTAGAACAAAAACAAACAACCCCGTTTAGATGTCTTCAGCTGTTTGTCCATGTATTCAATTTGGACTATTTCTGTTCTGGCACATGATTCAAATCAACTCATTTGATCATTTTCAATCAAACACAAACTGAAAACTTGCGGATTTCAAAACCATTGGCAATGGCACTTCAATGTTGGATATTGACTTCCCAATATACTTTTGGAAAATCTAAAATGACAGACTATTAGATCCTATATCCAAGTATAGATTCCAGGATTATGTAAACTTGATTTGCCAAATTGAGCATATTTGAGCAGGTAGTCAATTAGGCAGTTTTTGTGATGGGACAAAGGATGGATTGTGCAAGAAGCCTACAATAACTTTCAAGCCATAATGGAACACCATTGATTTTCGGAAACCACAAATTGCCATTTTCGTAACTCCAAGGCATATTTTGCCACTACCCTAACTCTTCTTGGCTACTCTTGTTGGCTACTCTTGTTGGCTACTCTTGTTGGCTACTCTTTTGTCAACTTGTATCATATGCTGCAACATATCATATTTGTTGTTGGCTACTCTTTTGGGTCAACTTGTATCGTGTGGTGTGCCGCGACATACTGCACTATGCTTTTTAGGTCATGTCTTGGGTCGTGTTTTGGTACTGGTTGTGTTGTGTGTGTGTCCGTGTATTTTTTTAATTTTTTTTCGGGGCGATATTAATACATTTTTCGGTTCATTGTGTAGTTTTCGCGCGTGTTATGGGTTTCATTGTATAGTTTTTGCGCGTGTTATGGGTTTCATTCTATAGTTTTTGCGCGTGTTATGGGTTTCGTTGTATAGTTTTTGCGCATGTTTTATGGGTCTCTACCTTTTTTATTCATTTTTTATTCTCCCCCATTTGTGGTGGGCTTCGTCTTCTGATTGATCTGCGTCATGTGTGCGTATGGTGTTGGGCGCGTTGTGTTGTTGTTTTCTGATGATGATGGCTCTCTGTCGTGTCTCTTTCTTGTTGTTGTTGAATAGTACTTTGGGTGATGCTGCTTGATCTCTTCTGAGGTGTTCCACTGGAAGCATTGTGAGTCGCTCCATGGTTAGTTCAAATTCTTGGTTGAAGAGGCTTGAAGTTACTGTTTTTTTTATGAAAGTCTGGCGCCATCTTTGCCTTCAACATGAATGGTAATCCAAAGAGTGTGTTGATGGGTAGTTACTCCGTCAATCCAATCATCAACATGTGATTTTCTCCATCCCTGTTGGCAAAAGGGATGTAGTATTCAATGATTGCCTCGATGTTGACACTGTCTTAGATTCCTCCAATCTTGATGGGGGCATAGTGAATTTTTGGAAAGTCATACACCTGTTTGACCAATTGGGGGTATTGTTTTGCGATGGTGAGGTGGTATGCTTTTCTCCTATGTTGCAGCATCCTCTTGTGTCGTACATTCCTTTCAAGTTGGCTATGTCTCTGCGGTTGAGGCCAATTGGGAATTGCATCACTGCTCACTGAGAAGTCCAATTTTTGTGCTTGTTCCATTGCTGCAAAGCTTCCGACCGTCATGAAAGTGAGTGGGGGGTCCGTTCTCATTTGCTTCCTCTTTTGCGCTGTTGTTGCCCATGTGCTCGGTGACTGTTTTGTCCAAGTTTGTTAACAGTGTTCTTCATTCATCTTCCCGCGTTTCTGGATTCTCAATCTTTTGAATTGTTTCATAAACTATTTGATTAATATAACCACCGTCCTTGTAACTTGTTATCTCGCTTTTGTGTCGTCTCTGCTCTCTCTTTAGTCTGTAGTCCTCTATGCTTTTTCGGGGGCATTTTCTGAAAGAGTGGCCTATCCTCTGGCATCCCCAACAACGGATCGAAAGTGTTTTGTCACTTTCTTCTTCAATGTTGAGTGCTTCTTCGGCAGCACTCATGCATGCTAGCATTGTTAGGGCAGCTTGTGGGCAGTATAGTTTGCTGTTGGGTGTCAGGACCAACAATTGTCTTCCTTGTCCGTCAGTGACTCAAACGTTTTGATTTGGTGTGGGTGTCAATGCAGTGTGGAAGGTTCCAGCGGTCTCGATCGTTGGAGTTTGGGAGGAGCAATTGTCTTGGAATCCTTGGAATTGTCGTTGGTGGAATCCTGCAAAAGCTCTTCCTCCTGGTCTTGGTGGTGCGGATGGTCCTGGAACGTAGCTTCTGTTTGGCCTGACTTGTCCCGCGCTGTTTGCAATTCCCACAAGTTGCTTGATGCGCCTCTCTTCTTTCTCTGCTCAATCGCATAGGCGACTCCTGCCAAGTCTGATAGGTTGGTTGGTGGAGGGTTCTTGTGGTTGAACCCATTTAGAATTGTGGCAATTCTGCCATATAAAGTAGCCACGCTGTTGTGCATCATCGTGCCTCCTTTGTATCGGATCATGTTGAGTTTTGCCAGTTGTTGGTTTGGCGTCTCCATTCCTTGTTGTAGTCCAACGTAGGTGGCTGTAAGTGCTTGTTCGAGTGCTTAGAATTGGGTCTTTGCAATCTGTTGCTTGGACCACTTTTTGTAGGCTTTGTTTTGGGGCTCTCCGTCTCTGGTCGCAGCTCTCATCAAGAATTCTTCTCCTAGGGCTGCCATTGCTGCGATGATTTCCTTGTGATGTGCTTGGCCCATTACCATTTGGCGAGTGATGGATACGTCCATCTGGTTCTGGACTCTTGGCACTGGAACCTATACAGCTCTGTTGGAAGATGGTGGGAATTTGTTGGGTCAATTCCAATGTCAGTTCATAGGGAACACAGCCGTGGGACCAATTGGAGCTCGATTTGGAAGTATGTAGCAGCCGCTCTAAATGGTGCTGGAAGTCCTGGTCCCGGTCCTGTAGCGATTGCTTGTCCTGTGTTGTCGATGACATGGAGGCTTGGGAACTCGTACATGTCACTAGTCATGTCAAACAATTTGCTGGTAGCGGCGTTGACTTGCGAGCGAACGTCTGGGCACACAGATGTGTAGCGTTTCATCAAGAGATCTACCTTGTGTTCCATTGTTGTCTTTGTCTGGTTGATGGAGTTGTAGGATTGCTTGCTTGATTTCCGGAGACTCTGTGGTTGGAGCTAAGACGGCAGTATTGATGGTATACTGGTTGTAGGTGATGGTCTTGTTCACGTGGCTTCCGTTGACCCAATACAATTTCTTGTTGATGCAATCGCTTCTTTTTTCATTTTTTTCATATTTGTGATGCGACGCGGCAGTCATCGCGGCAAATGCTGCATTCTCTATATTGACAGGACTTGCTGACATCATAGCAAACGCGTTGCGCTGGAAATGATCAGGGTTGAACTGTCCTCCCCATGTGTTGGCTGATTGTCTGAACAAACTTGGTATAAAACTCAGAAATCAAAAATCAAAAACTAAAAAGTAGAAGATTAATTTCCATGCACAGCACCAAAACAAAACTGTACCAGTCCTACGCGTTTTCTACGTAAAGGAAAACAGTTGTTGTTGCTGAAACAGGAAAGAAATTTACTTTAACATGAAGGATAACATCGTCAACCCG